TGGCATCACCCTATGGTTCTGTCTCTCCTTGATTAACTACCATAAGAACTATTTTACTGCTTCCATTGTTGAAGATAAAGTTTGATCAGTTATTTCTTCCGCCTTTACTCCTCTTCTTATACCAGGCTTTGAAATTAAAGATAAAGATAAAATTTAATCGCTTCACATATGTACTCTTTACTTTCTTCTCTGTCTCATGGTTTATCTTCCTGATCAATAACAATTTTATTTTCACGTTGTCTCATGAGTAGAACATGCAGAAGATCTATTTCTTTTGATCCTATTGCTTGATACAATGTTTGAAGCTTGATGGATCTCCTGCATATTTGCTCCTCTTATGTTCTTAGATTTCAACTTCAATGAGTTTTCTATCTTCCTAAAAGTTTCATCGAATTGAACTGGCAGGATATAATCTCCCTCCCGATTTATCTAAGTTTGTTAATTGTTATTGATTTATAAAATGTAGGAAAGGAATTTGAATAGTGGTTTGAGGTGCTAAAATTAAGCTTACATGCAACACTATGGGAGTTGAGGGTGTTGAACTTGGAGTAGAAGAGTATCTTTAGATTGTTATGTAATATTCCAGTGGTTACCGCAAGGAACGGCGTCATAGCTTGGGTTCGGGAAGGGAAGTGGTCGGGGGGAAGAAATTGGGTTTAGATTTGGTAGCAAGTAAAGTTCAACTGCAGCAGGTGAAGGCAGAGAAGAGGGAGTTGGTGAGGGTAGTGAACAATTTGAGGAGGATATTGAAAGACATGGAAGCAAAACTGGAGCAATTGAAGAGAGAGAAGTGAGAGATGATGAGGATATTAATGAAAATGGAGAGGGTATTAAAGGGCATGGAAATGGACTGAAGCAGGTGAAGGCAGACAAGAGGGAGATAAGCATATTGATGGAATTGGAGATGCACGTACGTTTTAATGAGCTTATTACAGCTGCCCCTGATAAAGATGATGATAAGCCTCAAACCCGAGCTAGTGCTTGATTCGTACAGTTTGAGTTTCGTAGCACAAAAACAGGGGAAAGATAGGATGTTTTTGGTCGTGCAACTTCTCGCCGAGAATAGGGAAGAGGCTCGATCAATTTGAAGTCGCAACTCGTCCACAATTGAGGTGGCTACCCAATTGATGCAGAGCTCGCTCGATTGATAGATTCGATCCAATCAAACCAAGGACAAATTCATGAGATGAACTCATTGAACAAATGTGTTATTCGATTAAAACTTGAATGTATTACAACGTAAAAGCAACTCTTAAATAGACCTGGCTAGCTTACATAACAAGGTAAGACATCCTATTCCTACTACAATTCGAAAATAAACCTATCAAGCAAGGAAATAACTCCAAACGCTAAACAGTCTAGGAATCCTAGTTCAACAAGGATTCAGATTATTGGCTCCCAAAGTCGGAAATTGCAGCCTCGATACGATCTTTGGACTCTTCGTTCGAGCGCTTCCGAGAACCAAACCATTCAACCAATCCCTCGACGTTGTATCCTGAACCCTGTATTTTGATGTGGAACAAACCGTGGAACTCGACTCGCAACCATCCCTCCTGAATCGAGCCTTAAAGTAGCTAGCTTGAATATGGATTCTGCCTTACCCAAAAACTGGCAGTTTCCAGCTTTCCAGTTACACTTTTGCACAACCTGGAAATGGCCCTTCTGGACTTGATCTCGAGCTCCCAAGTAATCTAATGTGTTTACAAACATCCCATATTCAATATGATTCGGTCCTAATTGTACATATTTTACCCCCATTTTCCTTAGGCGTTTGTGTCAATTGTACTCCTAAAAGGGTGGTTTTACGCGAGATTTCTTGTGTTTTAGCATGTTTCAGGGTTTAACAGGTGAAACCAGCCCCGGAGTAGAAAGTTGGACGAAAAGGAGCGAAAACCGGGAGAAGAGGTGAAAAACCGGCAGTTCACGGTTTCCCTTGGAAGTTCATGGTCTGCCAAGACCGTGAAGAGGAGTTGTTGCCCGTGAACATCAAGGCGTCCAGGGCGTTTCCAGAAGTTACTGACGCTAGGCGAGTTCACGGTCACTAAGACCATGAACTGGAGCTGTTGCCCGTGAACCTGTGCAAGCGAAGCGGTGCGTTTCGACGCCAAGCTTGAGTTCACAGACGCGTTCAAGACTTCACACGGCCGTGAAATGAGCCCGATCCCTGTTTGAAAAGAGAGCTGAAAGGAAGAGATTAGGGGGGGATCCAAGAGTGAGAAAGTGCCTTCTTCAGATTTTAGAGAGAGTAAGAACGAACCAAGGAGAGAAGAAGGCTAGGGTTTTCTCCAAGTGGTGAATTGGGAAGATTCTACGCAAGAGAAGTTCATCACAAGCTCAAAGGAGATTGGAAGCATCACCATGATGGTTTCTACCTCTTCCTCCTGTGTTTCTCCCCTTTCTAGCATGGAGTAGTTTCCTTTTTCACTGTAGTGTTGTGAAACCCTAACTATTTGCCATGTAGTTGTCAAGTGAATTGAATGATTGTTTATGGGTGTTGTTTAATTCAATGATTGAGGTATTTTTCATGTTGATTGTGCATGTTTGTGCTTAGCAATCTAATTGGCCATTCTAACCTAGATTAGAGGGGAAACCCCCTTTCAAGGGAGGCTCAATTGAGTTGGGATTCCTAGGGCTTCTTAAGCCACCTATTTTGGTTAATGTAGGGCAAACCGCTATGTTGAATTAAACAATTTGGTTAAGCGCGATTAAGCCGACCAACCATTGGGTTGAGTGAGGGAGTAAGTCAAGCATCGATTGCCTTAACTGGGAGGGCCACTTGAATAGCCTATAATGCATCCCTCGGTTTGGAAATCGAGAGTGTGGTCTACGACCATATTTGCGTCCTCTAGCGGTTTGCGGTCACCTTGCCCATAACAATCACTTCGATTCACATACCATGGTAGTAGTTATGGGGAAGCGACACCCGAGTGAACCTTCTCAAAAAGAGCTTTCAAAACCATTTACTTTTTCCTTGCTTTACATTAATTAGCAAACTTTTTAACTAAAATCGATTTGCTAGATAATGATTCAAATGACTGAAGTAGGGGTACACGGACCGACCCGAGTCGGTATTTAAACATACTTGCCTTGTATTGCACCCGACTAAGGTTTATACTTGGAGCTTAGGTGGGAATTAATTGTGATATTCGGGACGAGTCACAATACAAATCAATAAAATCCCATTTTCATCGAGCCACGTGTGACGACCAAGCTTCCAAAGTGAGCTACTTGAATTGGAGAAAAGACTTAACCAAAATTCCAGGTTTCTTTCAGTGAGTGAGGTTGCTTCGGTTTCAAGCCATTGTATGTTGTAGAGGGGGTCTAATTGAGATAATATCATATGAGTTGGCCACGTACAAGAAGAGGACTCAAGAGTTGAAGAACGAATTGACAAGAACCCCAATTGGAAGAGAAATTGAGGACCACGGAGAGAAGACCCATCAAAGCAGCAGACTGGAGTTACGGAAGGAGGATTAGAAAGTGAATTTTGGGTTGAAACAGATGCCTCTTGAGATTGAAGATAGAGTGGACACAATTTTTGTTGTACAAAGGAGAGTGGTGACTATTGGATCTTTAGATTTATGGTTTTTGTAGCTACCACAACCTATGTCTATCTTAAAAAGAGGATTCATTGATTGATTTACTAAAGTTAAGGTCAATTCTCTATTCAAACTACTGGAACTGGTAGATAAGGAGTATCTAATTTTATGCCTTATTAATTTGATTGAGTCTATTAGTATATTGAAGGCAAACTTATTTTTTTCGTTTGCTCTCAAATTTTGATGGTCCCTTTTAGCTGAGTTGTTAATATATGGTTAACTTGAAACAACTCTCCATGTCTTTTTTATTAGTGACATATTGTTTGTAAAAGAAGAGCATTGAACCCTTTATGTAGGATTGTGAGGTTTCAGTTTTAGTTTCAAATTATTTATAGGTCGTGCGGGAATTCTAGTGAGCTTTTATACTCTATCTTTCTTGAGAATCAACTAAGGGCTTACTTATCAGTATGAAAATAGGATCAAAGATATGCTTTTATATTTTATATTTTTAAATGATGATGATATTTCTCCGAATGTTCGACCTATACATTCATTCTTTATGTATCATCTTGATAAGTTGAATCTATGCATGTTATTGCTAGTGGTTTGCACATATCAACAACTATCCCATCCTAAATCAAGTTTAATTAGGTAATCAGTTTTTGAGGTTTTGAGTGGAGGATATGAGGAAACACTAGTCTAGAGGTTGATCAAAGCTAAAAGCAAGTACTTCGAGGAACTAATCCTCTCCCTAGCTTAGGGATATTATGCATGTATAGATACGTAGGGTTATCGAATGTGGTGAGTGAACTCCTTTCCGTGGGCCTTCGTCCTTATCCACACGCCTCCGAGCACGCCTCCCCTAAATCCATGTTTCAGTCACCTCTATCTAGGCTATCGTATCTGGGAAATTACACTTATGGATCATTTCAATGGACACTATCCGCTGTCCACACAGAGGTTTCATCCCGGGTTTCATCTAGGAAGGCCACCTATAGCAGGGGTTCGGTCGCCTCAACCTCTATAGGCCCCCATTCACACATCTAACCTAAACTCGCCAGCTGGCGCATACCCGTCTTATCCTAGAACTCCTTACCCAGCGCGAGAGCGTAAAGTAGGCTACGAGAATTAGGGCGACTTACCTAAGCGTCATCATTTAGGAAAGATTGACATTAAAAATCTACTAGATAAAAACATTCATTCATTCAAACCTTAAAATATCCATACATACATAATAAACCCTAAAACTAGGGTTTACGGTTTAGAACCCCTAGTACCTTAGAGGACTACTCCCTAAAGGAGGGAAGAAGATACATGGTAGAAATAGAAGAAGACTTGGGATAGAAGATGCCTCCTTGTTCCTAGCTCCTCTTCCTATTCTTCTCCCTTCAGCTTCTCTCTCTTCTCTCTTTGTCCCAAGAACCAGAAATTTCACCCAAAATCAGCTCTCTTGAAAAGGGGGAAGGAGTCTTCTATTTATAGGTAATTCTGCTTCGGGGGAGTTTGCGGCCTGAGGCAAGGAGATCGCGGCCGTGATCTTTGGTCATTGAGCCGTGATTTCAAAACATTGTCGTCGAGGCCTTAAGTACGCGGGAGATCGCGGCTTGACTTCGCGGTCACGATCCTTGAGTCGCGGCCGTGATTTTCCTCCCGTGCATTTTGCACGTTGGCCTTGATTCGATTGGGGAAAGTCTCTACTCATCCATGCCTCCTTCCTCGTGAAGTTCACGCCCTAGGGATCCAAGATCGCGGTCGCGATTTTTGGCTTCTGGGCTGCGATCGTCAGCGAGTCTTCACGACTAGAAATCCCGACCGTGATCTTTGGCTTCTAGGCCACGATCTTTGATCCTTGCCCATTTTCTACACTTGTGACCTTGTTTTGTACCTAGTTTGCACATATTGACTAATACACCCCATAATCACATCAAAATCAAATATGAACAAAATAGGAATGTATTTGACAATGTTTAAACGCTTAAGCACATGAATTGGCACAAAACATACTCTAAGATGGAGGGTAAATAACACCGATTTTGGTGTTATCAAACTCCCCCACACTTAGGTGTTTGTTTGTCGCCAAGCAAACTTACTCAAACCTAATGCAATATGATAGACAAATCAATGAGGCATGCACGCTAGTTCTTCATTGCATAGAGAAGAGTATATAGGTATGAATGAACGGTACTACCTTCCTATACAGTGCAAGCACAAACTATCGTGTAAGGACCATATCTACTTCCTTAGGTCGATCATTCAAAATGTACTCCGGGGGATTCTCCGACAACAAACGACTAAAATAACTATAAGCGGTGCTTTTATTCTTTCTTTTGGTGTAGGAGTTGTCATTTTTCTATCTCCTTTTCTCCGTTCATGCACATTGCACCGAACTCTTGCAATCTCTTTCATTTCATAATAACATCTCTCCCTCATGAACAAGAGCGGATGAACCATAGCCTTCCGTTTCAAGGTCGCATGTGGGGAAATTGATGGTCAATTTCGTCTTAGCCCGAGCACCACGTCCCAGCATGCACTCCACATTGGGTTGCCACATATGTTGGATACAAACGAGAGCTATGAGGTATCATGAATCGCAAAAAGGTACCTTTGGTCCTTATCATATGATTCCGTGAGGAGGAGAGGCATTTGGGTGATGGTAAGTAGTAAGAGATGATCTGGATGCAATAAAGCTATCTGAACCTCAAACATATCCTCGACGGGCACTTCGAGCCAAGAGAACAATCCTTTGACGGTTGATCTCAATTCTTTTCCCAGTTGCCACTCACGTGAGAACCTCTTTTCAAATTTTTAGGACAAATTGAAAAAGTTCCTTGTTCACATAAAGGGAGAGGATCTAGCACACAATGCCTTCCTAAGATAGCAAACACTGTCGACTCACACTAGAGGAGGAAAGTAGTAAAATCCCTCACGTACCGATACTCAAACCATGCAATTGTCACCTAAGATGCACAACACATCAATCAATCTAGTCAAATCAAAGCACATCAAATGGTTAATTGCAAGGGCAAGGTGCTTTGGAACCCTCAAATTTGAAATTTTTTGGGTGTGCATTCAAGGTTCCAAAAACACTAATATTTCCCTATTCATCACCACAACAAAGGCATGATCACTAGCATACATTCCCATAAGCATTCATCAACTTCTTACATTCACGAACAAGGGAGTATACTAGCAATAAATGGTTGCACCAATCATGATAAACATTAAAACATGCACAAACATCCCCCCCCCCCCCACACACACACACACACTTGAGCAACTCATTGTCTTCAATGTGGGAGTTCGCCAAGAAAAGAATGTGAATGTTACCATAGGTCGGGTTGTGGGTTGGTGAAGGTTCACAAGTGTAGTCTTTTTCTTCCTTGTGGTTTTCATAACGATAAAGCGCATAAGATAGAGAGGAAGACGAATAGGAGTTATAGGTACGATAAATATATATATATAATAAGTACTACTACTCCTAACGATAGAATATTTAAGGTATGAAAGGTAAAATGAAAATAAAGTGATAATTAACATTGTTTTAATTTAAATAAAGAAAAGCAAAGAAAAAAAAAAGAAAAGATAGAACTTAGGCTCCGGATGCCTAGAACTCATTCCTCCTTTGAGGGTCCATCTTCTTCATCGTGAAAAAGTGCGGAAGGGGAGGAGCGGTTGAATGTGGCCGATATATCTTTGATCAGAATGTTCATCTTCTCCATGATCGCGTGGATGCACACCATGATGTGAAGTAGTTCTTCCTTCTCCCTTCTTTGGTTGTGAAGGATATCCGCTATCATAGCCTCAATTCTATGATATCTTGCATTGTTTCTCGGTGGGTGAACCGGTTGAAAAGTGCGGATATGCACCTCTCCTCCTTAATGCACGCTCTCCTCTTGATCTTCCTCGATTGTCAATCCTCTTTGGTCCCTTGCCCTCCTAGCTTCTGGAAGACGGAATATGCTTCCTCCCATGTCCAATGTATTGGTGGTTGGAAATGAGAATCCCCGCACACCCCAAATGTCATCATTGCTCATTTGTAGTACCTTGAGTTTCGACTTCAAGACATCAAAGGATATAGGAACGGTTCTACGATCCAATCAAAATTGCACAGCTCCGAAGTCGGTGATCCGTCTCGTAACGCTTGAAAATAGATAAGATTGATAGATCAAGATGGAGAGATTATGGGAGGCGCATGCTATGAAATAGGGTGATGTCTCGGGCGGTGAGATTACCCTTGCTCCGGTTCTTTCCTCCCACTGACCTAGCAATCACGTGGTGGATGACCACTACTCAGGTTGCACCTCACTGGCTTTTGATAGTCTCACATCCCATTGTCGGCTCTCGGGTTTCTCGACTTAAGACTCGTAGAAGGCCTTGAAACAAAGAAAGTCGGATTCCCTAGTCAAGGTGGCAAAATCATTAGGTGAATCAATGAAGCTCGCCGGGTAGATGTCCATTCCTCTAGTGAACTCCCGGATTGACATGTGACGATACTCTCCTCCGAGTTGAAACTGAATGTCATCCTCAAGGTCGGCGGCACCCCTCATGTCTTGAATAGTGAGTGTACTAATAAACTCAAGAACAAGCACCCGATATATGTGTTCTTGAATAGAGAGCAACTTGAGTGATTCCAATTTCTGTACTTTAGAGCAGATTGCATCTTCAATTCCAATTTGGGAGAAAAGAATCCAATCGAGACAAGTACTTTCGCCTAAGAGTAGCCCATGAAGCCACATAAGTGTGCTCTTGAATTGCTCGGGTACATGCTCTAAAAAGTAGTGAGTGATATGTTCTAACGCCGCCTTCTTCATGTTGAGGAACTACCCTTGATTGATGATCAAGTTGTTATGCTGGATGACTTTCTTCTACAACCACTTTCTTTGATTTGGACTTCCTTGTGTACTTTTTTTGACCTTGGCGAGGGCGAGATGTTCGAGAGGAAGAGCTCTCACCATGAGTCATGCCTTTAGTCTTGTATATTCCTTCAAAACATGTGGTACACATGCATAAATCATCAATCCAACATTAAATATTAATCGGGTTACAATAAGGTGATGAAACTTCTAAATTTCCCCCACACTTGAATGTGACTAAGAACTTGGAAAAAGAGGGAAATTGGATAGAGAGATATCTCCAAAATAGTAAGAAGGATATCCCCAAATTGATGTAGGAACAATCAATGACCAACACCCCAATCAATGAAATTGATGCTTAATCCAAAGTGATGCAAATAATGAACTTTATGTGATTGGAGACTTTTCACAAACACTTGGTGGGTGGTAGTTGAAGATGACATAAATGCATGGGCACAACCCACCAAGGCATCAAAAGTGACATAGAGGGTTCATTAAAGAAAAGAAGAACAATCTCATGCCATCAAGATGTCATTCCAAGTAGAAAATGGGCATTAAAGACTATAAGCGATCAACACATGTTGGGCAAGATAATGCAATTAAATAGAGTCAAACAAGGAAAAATGTACCTTATCTTGCTTGGGGACATGGTGGGAATCCAAAATAAAGTAAATCCTTCTCAAAAGTTGTTGAAAGATGAGATTAAATAAGTTGAGTTCAAAAAGTCAAGAGAGTTGAAGAGTAATGGCATATAGATCTATAGAATGGTGAAAAAGTAAATGCACTTAGATCTAAAGAGGCTGCTAATGCTTAAATAGGGACAGGCAAGATCGTGGGTTGAGCACCAAAGATCGCAGTCGCGATCTTTGCCCTGTCAACCGCGATCTTTGCCCTGTTCAGGACAACTCATTTTCTCCACGTCTCTTAGTTCAAGCATTCATCCAAACATTCAATCAAGCATCCAAAAGAAAGGCTAAGTCTTATCAATCAATCTCAATGCATCTCTAATGTAATAACTAAGCTACTATTTAATTAAAAAGAAAAGGAAAGGGAAAAAATAAGCAAACCGAAGTGTTTGGTTGCCTCCCAATAAGCGCGTCTTTGAAAGTCTTTTCGCAGGACTTGACTCCTTAAGATCAAATGGAGAGTCCTTCATTCTTCACCGATGACCCTTCATAAAAGTTATACTTGTGGTGAAGACCATGGAGTCTCTCGGATTCCTCTTCCGGTACTTGAGATAGAAAGGATCCAATTGAGAATTGATTTGCAAGATGGTGAAGGTGAGGCTCCTTGATAGAGATGCATTATCCGTGAATGGCTTGTAGCATTCCCCAAAATCTTCATGTTCAAGAATATTAGCTAAATCGCCCTTAAAAAATTGGTTCATTTCTAAGGATGTCTATCTTCAAAGATAAACCTTTGGAGCTTTCTTCCATGATCATCGGAGAGATGAGAAACCTTGAACAACTCTTGGGTTTGCATTTTGCAAGAAGATTTCTCTTTGCCCAATTTCTTCATATTTTTGCAAGAATCACTCCTCCTTAAACTTGAGCACCATGGAGGTCAACATGGGAGACCATATTGAACCATTCAATCTCGGGACTTGAAGGAGGTGTAGTAGGAGGTGTAACCGGCTCACAATCCATCTTGAAATCGTCCCATTTGTAATACTTGTGGAAATTTGGGATTGCAGTAATCTTATAGCTTATCTCCTCTTCACAAAACCTTAATGTGTTCTTGCTTCCACATACATCAATGATAGTCCGTGCTGTATCTAGAAATGGTCGGCCTAGAATAATCGATGCATCATAACCCTCCGTGTCTACAACCACGAAGTCACCGGATAGACAAAATAAGCACACTTTACCAAGATATTCTCTATGATTCCTCTTGGCTCGACCATGGAACTATTGACCAACTCAATCCACATTGGAGTAGGAGTGAGTGGTCCAAGGTTCAAATTATTGTATATCCATGTAGGCATGATATTGATGCTAGACCCCAAGACGGATAACGGGTTCCAAAATGTTTTATCTCCAAACGTGCATGGAATAGTGAAGATTCCCAGATCTCTTAGCTTGGGAGGTAATCCTCCATACCCAATGGATGCCGAAGTAGCTTCACTAACGGATACCATAGCTACATCCTCCATTTTCCTCTTTCCCAACAAAATTTCCTTCAAGAACTTTGTATACATAGGGATCTTCAATACCATGTCTAGGGAAGGAAAGATTACCTTTAATTGCTTCAATGTGTCCTTCCATGGAGCACATTTATGATAAAGATCGCTTTCAAATAACCGTCCAGGATAAGGAGCTTTTTGATGTTGGCTCGGGCTCATGAGTCTTCTTATATTTTTCCTCATCTTCGACATCGACTTCAATGGAAGGTTGTACTTCCTCCCGACTACTTCTTCTTGAAAAACTTCTTGGTGAACTTCTCTTATCGGGATCCTTGGAGTTGAAATAGGAATCTCCTTCAATGGTCGACCACTCCTTAGAGTTACCGCATGGCATCCTTCTTTCGAGTTCGGCTCGGTATTGCCCGGTAGAGTTTCTTGAGGTCTCAATGAGATAGTTTGAGCCAATGAACTTATTTGAGCTTCAAGATTTTGAAGTGAAGCTTGTTGATTCCTTTGAACCGCTTCCAAACTCGAGAATTTGGTTGAGTTATTCTCTATGAACTTGTCAAAAGCTTCAAACTTCTTGTTGGAATGTGTGACAAATTGGCCTACCTAATCTTCAAGTTTAGCAAGTCAACCATCGGAGGGTCGACTTTGTACTTGATACGCTCCTTGGTATGTTGGTTGACTCGGCCTTTGGTAAGAAGTTTGCATTGGAGCTTGAGATTGAAACCCCAGAGGTTTCTTACCCGTTGGAGAATACCAAAAAAAGTTCAGGTGATTCCTCCATCCCGGATTATACGTCGAGCTATAAGGGTTGTTTCCTCAAGATTGAACTCCAACAAAGTTGGCTTGCTCCAATTGTATAGAAGCTTCAATCATAGACTTGCATTCTTCCATATTATGACTCAATTCACCACACCAATCACGCTTAATAAGTTGCTTCCCATTGCCCTTCATTGACAATGCAACTTGATCGATTTTCTTGGAAAGTTATTGAATATGGGTCGACAGTGACGATGATTCTTCAATATTAAATAAAATTTCCTTTGATATGCTCTAACCACTTCTTCCGTCACCCCAATCGTAGCTATTAAGGGCCATCACTTCAATTAATTGTTGAAATTCTCCGACTTCTTTGTTCCGAATGGCACCTCCACTAGCTGCATCAACGAGGCTCTGTGATTCCTTTGTTAACCCATTATAGAAGCTTTCAACTTGTAGTCAGTCGCCTATGCCACGGTGAGGACACTTGAGTATGAGAGATCTAAATCTTTCACATGCTTCAAACAATAGTTCATCCTCCTCTTGACAGAACATAGGGATCTCACTTCTCATCAAAGCTGTCTTAGAAGATGGAATGTACCTTGCAAAGAACTTGTTGCATAGATCATCCCATGAGGTGATTGAGTGATGTGGTTGATTATTCAACCACTTCTTTGCCGCTCCATTCAAGGTAAATGGGAATAACCTTAGTCGGATAGCCTCGTGAGGAACCCCATTCACTTTGATTCCATCCGTCAACTCATAGAATAACTTGACATGCGCATGTGCATCTTCACTCATCATCCCATTGAATTGAACCACACTTTGAAGCATTGATATTGTGCCCAGCTTGATCTCATAATCATTGTTGGGTAACGTCAGATGAAGAATATGTGATTGGACATTGTCCACACTTGGACTAGAGTAAGAACCTATTGTTCTTGGCCTCGGTGGTGCTTGAGCTTGATGTTCCGCCATTGGAGGTTAAGGTCTTGTAACTCTTCTTAGATTCCGAAGGGTTCTCTCGATTTCAGAATCAAGAGGTAATACTTCCAAGGAATCCCTTCTTTGCATACAACGATGCTACGAAACACAACCTCAAAAATCCGTGACGTACAAAAGTGGCAAATAACAATACAAATAAAGACACAAATATGAAAACAAAATACGAAACGAAAGCACAAAAAAAAAACAAAACGAAATAAACCAACAACACAAACACAACACAAAACAACTAAAGCAAGGTAAGAACTAACTAACAACTTAATAGTTTTCTACTAGTTACCAAGGTTCCCCGACAACGACGCCAAAAAGCTTGATCACTTGAATCCGTGCATGTTATTGTAAGTGGTTTGCACGTATCAACAACTATCCCATCCTAAGCCAAGTTTAACCTAGGACGACATTGCCGTATAGTGGTAATCAATGTCGTATTCTACTCGGGTCCTGGTACCCTAGCCTACTTCCCACCTTATTGTTAATCAGGTAATCGGTTTTTGATGAGTGGAGGATATGAGGAAACACTAGTCTAGAGGTTGAACAAAGCTAAAAGCAGGTACTTCGGGGAACTAATCCTCCCCTTAGCTTAGGATACTATGCATGTATAGATACTTAGGGTTATCGAATGTGGTGAGTAAGCTATTTTCCGTGGGCCTTCGTCGTTATCCACACGCCTCCGAGTACGCCTCCCCGAAACCCATGTTTCAGTCACTTCGATTTAGGATATCGTATCTGGGACATTAAACTTATGGCTCATTTCAATGGACACTGTCCACACCGAGGTTTCATCCCGGGTTTCATCTAGGAAGGCTACCTATAGTAGGGGTTCGGTCTCCTCGACCACTATATGCCCCATTCACTCATCTAACCTAAACCCACCAGCTGGCACATACCCGTCTAACCCTAGAACTCCTTACCCAGCGCGGTAGCATAAAGTAGGCTAAGAGGGAAGGTTAGCGCGACTTGCCCAAGCGTCATCATTTAGGAAAGAGTGACGTTAAAAATCTACTAGACAAACAAATTCATTCACCCAAACCCTAAAATATCCATGCATACATAATAAACGCTAAAACTAGGGTTTGGGATTTATAACCGTTGTACCTTAGAGAACTACTCCATAAAGGAGGGAAGAAGATACATGGTATAAATAGAAGAAGACTTGGGGTAGAAGATGCCTCCTTGCTCCTAGCTCCTCCTTCTCTTTTCCCCCCTTCATATTCTCTCTCTTCTCTCTCTCTCTAGAACCAGAAATTTCACCCAAAATCAGCTCTCTTGAAAAGGGGGAAGGGGTCTTCTATTTATAGGCAATTTGGCTCCGGGGAAGTTCGCGGCCTGAGGCAAGGAGATCGCGGTCGTGATATTCGGTCATTGGGCCGTGATCTCAAAATGTTGTCATCAAGGCATTAATGACGGGAGAGATCGAGGCCTGACTTCGCGGTCGTGGCCGTGATCTTCCCCGCGGGCATTTTTCACATTGGCCTTGATTCGACTAGGGAAAGTCTATGCCCATCCATGGCTCCTACCTCGCGAAGTTCACGCCCTGGGGCTCCAAGATCGCGGTCACTATCTTTGGCTTCTTGGCCTGGTAAAGTCCTTGTACCGAGAAGCAGATGAAAGAGAGTTCTGCGTCTGGTATTTTCCGTGGGCCTTCGTCGTTATCCACACGCCTCCGAGTACGCCTCCCCGAAACCCATGTTTCAGTCACTTCGATTTAGGATATCGTATCTGGGACATTAAACTTATGGCTCATTTCAATGGACACTATCCACTGTCCACACTGAGGTTTCATCCCGGGTTTCATCTAGGAAGGCTACCTATAGTAGGGGTTCGGTCTCCTCGACCACTATATGCCCCATTCACTCATCTAACCTAAACCCACCAGCTGGCACATACCCGTCTAACCCTAGAACTCCTTACCCAGCGCGGTAGCATAAAGTAGGCTAAGAGGGAAGGTTAGCGCGACTTGCCCAAGCGTCATCATTTAGGAAAGAGTGACGTTAAAAATCTACTAGACAAACAAATTCATTCACCCAAACCCTAAAATATCCATGCATACATAATAAACGCTAAAACTAGGGTTTGGGATTTATAACCGTTGTATCTTAGAGAACTACTCCATAAAGGAGGGAAGAAGATACATGGTATAAATAGAAGAAGACTTGGGGTAGAAGATGCCTCCTTGCTCCTAGCTCCTCCTTCTCTTTTTCCCCCTTCATATTCTCTCTCTTCTCTCTCTCTCTAGAACCAGAAATTTTACCCAAAATCAGCTCTCTTGAAAAGGGGGAAGGGGTCTTCTATTTATAGGCAATTTGGCTCCGGGGAAGTTCGCGGCCTGAGGCAAGGAGATCGCGATCGTGATCTTTGGTCATTGGGCCGTGATCTCAAAATGTTGTCATCAAGGCATTAATGACGGGGGAGATCGAGGCCTGACTTCGCGGTCATGGCCGTGATCTTCCCCGCGGGCATTTTGCACATTGGCCTGATTCGACTAGGGAAAGTCTATGCCATCCATGGCTCCTACCTCGCGAAGTTCACGCCCTGTGGCTCCAAGATCGCGATCACTATCTTTGGCTTCTTGGCCTGGTAAAGTCCTTGTACCGAGAAGCAGATGAAAGAGAGTTCTGCGTCTGGTAAATTCCTTGTACCGAGAAGCCCATCGATACAAGGCGTCTGGCGGATCAAGATAATTCATGAGGAGAGGACACGAAATTCGTGGTCCTTATCTTGAGGGGATGATTGTTATGGGACAATCTAAGTACCACATCGGTAATACAAGGGAAGAGACCCTTGTATATAAGAGTCCACCTAGCTTAATTAGTACGAGGCCTTTTGGGAAGGACACCCACGAGTAAAACCGTGTGTGCTTGGCCCAAAGCGGACAATAGCGTACTAATTGAGCTCCCCGGTTATGACAAGTGGTACCAGAGCCTCGTTTGGCAGATCTGGGGCGGTGGACGTCAGTTTGGTGGGACGAACCTCATTCAGTGACCTCGGGATTCGAGATCTGCGTTTGTCTGGCGGGTCAAAGGTGATTCGCGTATGTTTGGGGGATCCAGGAGAGATCCACATTTGGGCTTGGCGGATCAAAGAGAGTTCCGCATTTGGGAAGCAGATCAAAGAGAGCTCTGCGTCTGGTAAAGTCCTTGTACCGAGAAGCCCATCGATACAAGGTGTTTGGCAGATCAAGATAATCACTGAGGTAAGGACACGATGTTCGTGGTCCTTGGCTTGAGGAGAGGATTGTTAAGGTACAATCCAAGTACCACATCGATAATATAAGGGAAGGAACCCTTGTATATTAGTGTCCACTGACACGGCTCTACCGTCACACTAGAAAGTGGCCAAGTGTAACCACCTACTAGTGCGTAGTATAGCGGTTTCAGTTCTAATTGTCAACCCGGGTCCTAGGTGTGATGACTACTCTGTGAAAGTCTTGTTATCTAGCGGTTCAAGTGTAGTGAAGGTTTAGTTAAACTAGCAAGCAAAGAAGTGAAAGTTGTGTTCAAATTGAGAGAGTTCACCCGGATATGGTTCCCCCTAGACTGCAGTTAAGCCAGGTTGTAATTTACCAAGTTCAAGTTCAAGTTCAAGTTCAATGATAGTTATACTGAGGGAGGTTCTTAAACAGTCTGCAGTCTCGACTAAAGGTCTCTAGCCCCTCTCAATCTGAGTCCCCAGCGGGCGGCTAACCTCCACCGGAGTAAACAGATTGAGGCCCTAACTAACCAAACCTCCTCTACCGAAGTAAATCTGGTACAGAATAGTGAATCGACTCCTCGACGAAAGTCGTCAATTCGCTACCTTCAATCAAGGGTGCTCTATCAACCATGGCAGATCTTCTCTTTCTAGGTCAAAGCAGAAATAACAAGAATTTGATCAGGATTCATGTCATTCAAGAAATCAAACCTCAATTGAATATAATCATATCACTGAAATCGTATTTGGGTTCATAGACCTAAAATACAAATCTAGGGTTCATAGACCTAAAATACAAATCTAGGGTTCTTCATACCCAGGTGAATGAGAAAGTTACTCCATAGAGAGAGAAGGGAAATCTAGCTCAGATGCGGAAACCATACTGTGAAGGATGGGGTTCTGCCTCTAGCAATCAATCAGCACTTCTCCAAGCTCAAGACGGGTTCCAATGGTGATGAAGATCGATCTAGGGCCTTGGAGAATCAGGTTCGTCACTCTCTCTCTAGGTATCAGCTTTGTCTCTCTAAAACTTGGAACCCTTCAAAAGATGGCCTTCTTTTCCTTAAGAACCAGTTGTTCGCGATCCCTTTTCGTAATCCCCGGTCGGGTATTTCCAGTTTCCGGCCGGGGATTTTGAAATGCAGCGCAGCACCAAAGGGGTTAATACCCGATCGTGGTCCATAATACCCGATCGGGTATTTTTGCTCTCAGGTCGGGACCCCTCCTGCTTCTTGGCGTCCAAAAACAGTTTTCCCCGGCCTCCCATTGCATTTTAACCGGCCAGGTATTTTCACTCATGGCCGGGTATTTTGCTCTTCCAGCACCGTGCTACTCCAACGTCCCCCTTTTGACCCGAAACTCGTTTCCTCGCCTTCACGTCAATGCCAAGTCCTGAAATATGACATAAACACACAACCTAGCGTGAAATCGGCTTAAACACGAGAATCGACTCTCAAACGGCTCAAGAATGGAGGTAAAAACATGTGTAATCAATGGTCTATCATCCACCTAGCCCAATTAGTACGAGGCCTTTTGGGGAGGAAACCTAAGAGTAAAATCGTGCGGGCTTGGCCAAAGTGGACAATATTGTACTAATTGAGCACCCCGGTTTGACAAGTGGTATCAGAGTCTGGTTTCAGTTCGGGGCGGTGGACGTCAGTTTGGTGGAACCTCATTCGGTGACCTCGGGATTTGCGATTCACGTATGTTTGGTGGATCCAGGAGAGATCCACATTTGGGCTTGGCGGATCGAAGAGAGTTCCGCATTTGAGAAGCATATCAAAGAGAGTTCTGCGTCTGATAAAGTCCTTGTACCGAGAAGCCCATCGATACAAGGCATCTGGTGGATCAAGATAATTCATGCGGAGAGGACACGAAGTTCGTGGTCCTTGTCTTGAGGGGAGGATTGTTATGGGACAATCCAAGTACCACATTGGTAATACAAGGGAAGAAACCCTTTCATATTAGTGTCCACCAAGCTCATTAGTACGAGGCCTTTTGGGGATGACACCCAAGAGTAAAATCGTGTGGGCTTGGCCCAAAGCGAACAATATCGTACTAATTGAGCATCCCCGATTGTGACAAGTTCCTTCCCTTGTATGTCCGATGTGGTACTTGGATTGTCCTATAACAAATGTATTTGACAATGTTTAAACCCTTAACCACGTGAATTGGCACAAAACATACCCTAAGATGGAGGGTAAATAACACCGATTTTGGTGTTATCACATCTCTATCGAAATATTGTCAATAAAATTAAATGGGTTGATAGATTACATGGATTGATAGATTTAAACATAACATAAAAATATAAATACTCAATATAGAATATTCCGGCCAACGTGTTTTATAAGCTAGTAACAAAGATGCGAGAAGATTGTTGTGGGCGGGGGGGGGGGGGGGGGGGGGGGGGGGTTTGGCAAATTGGATCGGAAGTTGGGTTTCAGCACCGAGATCTAGGGGTGTAAGTTAGACCCTTAAAACCCACCGACTCGCCCCGACCCGCCCCGACCATCAGGGTCGGGCTGGGTCAATTTGTCTATAGGGTCAATTTATGGTCGGGTCAGCTTAGGGTCGGGTCAGGGTCAGATAGGGTCGGGTCAATTTAGGGTCGGGTCACTTTTTGACCCTATGACCCTAAGCATCATACAAACACGTTGGACCTATTTGTAAAATTTTAAAAGTTTAGGTACTAAATTGTAAAAATTAAAAAATTTGGGTACCAAAATGTAATTTTAACATCAAATTTTAGGGACTTATTTGTAAAAAAAATAAAATTTAGGTACTAAAGAAAAAATAAATTCGGGTACCAAATTGTAATTTTTAGAAAAGTAGTCTATTTATTAGGGTCGACCCACTGACCCGACCCTTACTGACCCGCCCCGACCCTAAAAGGTCAGACAGGGTCATGAAAGAAACAGGATCGGGGCGGGTCAGTTATACATCTTGACCCTTCAGGGGCGGGTCAGACAGGGTCAGTACAGGGTCGGGGTGGGTCGGGCCAATTTTCAGCCCTACCGAGATCCACCCACTTAATGGGCCATGCTTTCGCCCAAAGCAACAACTCGATGGAACTGTCTTTTGGGGTTAATGGCCCCCTCCTCCGAATTGCAGCCTGTTTCAGACAGATAACGGACCGGGCTTCTTTAGGCTTGTTTAGATTTTTATTTATTTATTAAACTTGTTTAAATATCTTAATGAATGAAACATGTGGGATTATTATACAAAAGAAAATAGGAATATTACAAAGAGAAAAGGAAGTGGTAGTTGGACGTAATTTCGATATTGGACACGTAGCCCGTCAGAATTTAGGAGCCGCACCACGCCGACCATACTCGCATTTATTTATTTATAATAAAAACCCAGCGAACCGCCCACGTTCAATCAACATCTCATATGCAATGCAGTTAGGTGAGGTCCCCCGACCCACCTCATTAACAACACGTGATGTCGTCGACGCTACTACCACACACCATATGTTTTGTTTGTTTCTTTCAGTTCCCCGAAGAACTGGAACTCGTAACCAACTTGGAGTGGAAACTCGATGAGGATTTTGCAATTAGATCGCTAACCATACCGAAATCGCACAATTAATGGTTAACCGCAAACCAAAAAAAACGATTCATTTTATAATTAGGGTTAGCAATATTGCATGTTTTGCGATTTATAAATTAACCGCAATCGAACAATAGAAAGTTTAACGATTAGTATGGTTAGCCGTGACACCAAAGGTAAGAAAGCCTAATGGTAAATCTTCCGCGACAGTGAAGGCTTGGGAGGTGCAGATCCCAGGTTAGAATCCAAGCGAGGCCCGTTGGTGTTCCCGGAGGTATAAGGCTGCTGATGGCGAAGCCCCGTTGGCGTCGAATTCGATTGCAGGTGACCTTCAGATTTAATAGGACCCAAAGCAGGAAGAATTTATGAGCTCTAGATAATCCCAGAGATAAATAGATGTCTTCAAACGTGGCATATGAGTAAAAAGCCAATTCCTTTCTATTCAACCTTCGGGTGTGAGCAATGTTTTTTGCGACAAAAACAAACCAACAGTCAAACTGTGCCTACAACTAACTATAGAAACATTAAATGATACTTTTCTGTGTGGTTAAGTGTTTGCTTAGAAACCTAATCTAAAAGTATAAGCCTTTCTCCCCCCTCAATCGCCCACAATATCAAATTGCTAATCTTCGCTTTCCAGTGTTGGTTTCATGCCCGCCGCGCGGCTCCCCTCGTCAGCTCCTGCAAAGGAAAAACCAAAAGAAAAAGAGACATGAGTCACCCATCATCATTTGTTCTCAGCTTTAGGATACGCACATCAATGGAGAAAGGTGTTCTCAATTATCATAATAAAAATATCAATGGTGAGATTGGATTCGATGCTATCTTAGACACGAAGAAGTCTCTGGTTTGTGTATGTAGATGCGTATGCTGTAGTAGATTAGATGAGGCTGCTGCGCCTCTACGCCGAGCACACTCTGGATTTATTCCTATTCTTTCTTCTTTACTTTACTTCCACGGAATATACTCTCCACTCACAACTCTCTCCTCTAATGGCAAAATGTGCGCATCTCATACATAACTGGAACTGATGGAAACCTTCCTTGTTCCATCAGGATTGGGCGCTATGCAAATTACAGAAACAAGCTTTGTGTATTTCAATCACCTTTCAGGCCTAGAACGCATCACTCTAGAATGGGAAAGGTGTTCTCCAAATGAACACATTAAGAGCAGAGCTCTTTGACGTATGATCTAAGTGCAAAAACACATACCTTCTGGTGAGTTTTGATCACTGAAGACAACAGTTCATCCCCTACAAGCTGTCTTGTTCTTCTTATCATTTGCTCCCTGTTAATCCTATGCCGCTGCAGAGAATATGAAAGGGAAAAAACCACGTTCCAGTTCAGTATAGCTACTCACAGCTAAGATTAGATTTTCCCTAAGTGCTCAAACTAAGAGCAAATTTCAGTAAGATTGCCTGCCAGACCTGAAAGTCTACAAAACTCTTGGAAACCAAGGACATGATGCGTGGATCCAACATCCCTGACAGAACACTCAACAGAGCTGGGAAGCTCATCCATGGCGATCTGGGTCTCATCGAGGAACTAACGGGTGTGTCACTGTTCAACCCTGGTAAAAAAATTTGGGGGTCAGCAATTAATCAATGCCGATTGCAGTACCCGGAAATCTAAAATTGTCCTCACCATTGACATTATTAGAAGGGTCCTTGAAAGAAACTACGAAAGCTGGGAATATGTGGGAGTTCATGAACGAACTCCAGACAACGTATCTTCTTGGCTTGGTCAAATCGTCAACCCCTGTATCGTAAGCAACGGAGCTTGGAGCTGATTGGCTGGAGCCAGCGGGAACCCTCTCCACTTTCCCAAGCAGAACGCGGCAGAGAAGCAAGTGCTTCGTTCCATCCTGGTCAGCGGCCGCGGATTCCAAGCTGTGTAAAGAAAGAAATCGGCGGTCAGCTCGCCGTTTTTTCTCAATTGGTCGCAATTGATCGAACGAATTAAAAAAACAATTAAAAACAATCTAGAACTTACCAGTCCGTGGGAAATGAAATTGCGGAGAGATGGACGCCGACACCACCGTGCGCGTGACCGCCACCGCCCGTACACCGACTGAAACCGAAGTTCAAAATCTGTCGGATCTCGTCCCTGGATCCGCCGTACCAAGCGTACCGAGCGTTGCCGTTCCCGCTGCCGCCGCCGCACCTCTCTGCCACAGCCTTCTCGTGAACCCGGAACGAGAAGAACCGCGCCTTGGCGCTCGGCACGGAGATGGAGTTCCTGTGAACGGCCGTGACCGTGACGCCGGCGGCTCGTGCCTGCCCCAGACCGTCGAGGAAGCACTTCGTGATCGTGGAGTGGTGCACGGTGTCCTTCGGTAGCGGAGAGAACCCGCAGCGAGCGAACGCCTCGATCCGGCCCCCGCCGCCGCAACGGACCGGCACTCCGGGCGACTCGTCGGAGTCGGAATCGGGATTCAAGATTTCGTCATCGTCGATTGAAATTGTTTCTTGCTGCTCAAGCGCAGGAAGAGTCGGTGGAATCCTCTGTTCCTGCAGAGGCATCGCCAGTAAGAGGCGTTAGGCACACGGAAATCAGAGGAGAAAAAATAAAATTCACCGAAGGCATTCGAACCGAATTCACGTGAACAGAATGAGCACCGCCATTCGTAATTTACCAGAGAAGGGAAACTTGCTCATCACACAAAGGGGAGAAGGAAAAAAAAAAAAAAAAAAACTACCGTTACTAATCAAACGCCGCCATAGAATGCCAGACTAAGAACTTTCTTGCACGAGAAGTAATGGACTCCTAATTCCCCCCTCCCAAAATATCAGACGCGGGGGAAATTAAGAGATTGATTGAAGAACACAAACCTGGAGAAGAGCCGCCGCCGTCGCCGGAATCTGATTCCGATCCCCGTAGTAGGCGTTCCCGAGCATGGTGATTAGTACAGGAAGGAGTACAAACAAACCAACAAACAAACAGGAGAAGAATCGAATCGCGAAAATCAGTACTGGTAGCGTTTAAACGTTAGAGGGATATCTGGAAATCGGAATTCACAAGGAGAGGGGAATCAGTGAGGAAGAAGGATTATTGAAAGTGCGCGCAGAGATCATTTTCAGAGATAAAACGGCTAATTAAGTTTTTGGCACCCTTCCAAGTTTTATTTTATAATAAGAGGAAGAATTCAGTTTGGCGGTTTAGGAAGGGAGCGAGAGAAGAGAGAGAGAGAGAGGCCAACAAGTTTGCGGCCTGCTGATTTATATGGCTGGCTGTTGCAAATGGCGGTGTGGCTCCTCGTGTCTGTGTGGAGCCTGTGGTCTTCTGACTCTGTGGGTTGGGTTTGGGTTCCGTTTTAATATTCTTGGCTCTTGGGTTTGAGGAATGATGATGCATGGGGCCACGTCACGGCCACGGCCACGGTGCCAGCCTTTTTAGGGTTTTGATTTATCTTGCTTTTGTCGTGACCATGTTGAAATTGGATTTGTTTTCTTTTCAGGGTAATGGCGGTTTTGAAATGACAACTATGACCCTCTTCTTGGAAGTCAATGCCAGTTTTGCCTTTGCCTTGCAAAGGAGGGAAATGCTAAAAGAGTTTGGCTCCGGACGGGGAGTGGGGATGGGAAGAAACAGGGTGCTTTTGGGGAAAGTCCGAAAGCCAGAGAGAGAATATATATATATATAAAATAAAATAAAATAAAAAATGAGTTTCTCTTGTTTTCTGTTACTGTTTGGCGGAAGGAAGAGGGTGGAGTGGGCTATAAGAAAGACGTGGGCCGGGTCAGCAGTCATGCGTTTATGGAGGTGAAATTTTGAGGAGGTTTTTTTTTGGGTTTGGCGGGCTGGTTTACTTCATGGCCAAGTCGGAGAGAATATTTGCCCCTCCTTTCTCCTTGCAGTAGAAGTCTTAAACAGAACCCATGTACATCGTGTGTGTAATGTGTATATTATGTGGGCTGTACAGTACTGGAAAACAAATAAGCAAAATAAGAAAAGGATCTAAGTTTGCTCTTTTCAGGATGGCTTTTGATTTTTAAATACTACTTACGTAGGGCCAAAAGCTAGGCGCACACACATTCATAACACCAACAAAAAAATGCCTCACCTAATTTGGAGACCTAAATTATGGGATTGCTAATTATCACCCTGTGTTTTACTTTAATCGCCCTAACATACAAATAAAAATTACATTTTTATCATTTTTATCCTCCATTAATATATAGTAGAGTTTTGTAAACTTTTCTCCATTTCAAATTTTCTTCAATGAGAGTGAAAGCAGGAAGGATATTTTTGTCTTTACAATTAATTATTTATTTCATAAAAAATATCAATATCAAGACTCGAACCTGGGTCTCTTCAAACAAAGATAGCAGTAATAACCAATTATACTAAGTGTATTTATTGTTCCTTTTTTAATACAAAACATACATGTATTGAAACTGTGAAAAGCAGAAAATTTTTTCATCATGATTAACAAGGGCACTAAGTCTACCATATGTATTTTCATGGTGCTTAATACTTCAATTTTCATAGTAGAGTTTCATTTAATTTTATCAATTTTTAGAATTCATGCTCTCTCCTTAATGTTTCGCTAAAGGTATATTGGTAATAGGCTAACATGGAAGAAACTATTTCCTTTATTACGTGTTGTGTCCTTGCATTTTTCAATATAAATTTAAATTTTGTGCCTTTTTATCTTTGTTATTATCTCTTTCTAATTTTCTCCGAAATTCCCTCCATCGTGCAATAGTTTGCGTGCTTTCACTTCCCAGTATAAGGAGCATTTGAAAATCAACATTCGGGTATCTCTTGGCACTGCAGTTTTATTCTTGGGAATTTAGGCTGGGCAAGTAGAAGATTTCAACTCTCATATCAATCCATGGCGAATAGAATGGAGTTCAATCAAGTAGTTATGGCCTGGCCTTGATTATCTCGCTCGATTCCTCTGCATTGGCATCACCCAATGGTTCTGTCTCTCCTCGATGTACTACCAGAAGAACTATTTTGTTGCTTCTATTGTTGAAGGCAATGTTTGATCAGTTATACCTTTCGCCTTTACTCATCTTCCTATACCAGGCATTGACCTTTAATAGGTTTTCGGTTTCCGGCCAAGGTTAATCACTTTGCACATGTAAGTCATTCATTTCTTCTCTATGTCCCATGGTTTTATCTTTCTGATTAATAACAAAACGAATTTTATTTCACGTTGTCTAATGAGCACAACATGCAGAATATCTATTTCTTTTGATCTTATTGCCTGATACGATGTTTAAAGCTCGGGGGATCTCCTACGTCATTTCTCCTCTTTCTGTTATTAGGTTTCAACTTCAATGAGTTTCTATCTTCATATAAGGTTCATCGACTTGAACGGGTAGGCTATTATTTCCTTCCCGATTTATCTAAGTTTGTTGTTTATGAATGATTTTTATAAAATATAGAAAATGAATTTGAACGATGGTTTGGGTACTATATTTGTTTGTAAGCAAAAGAGATGTTTGTGTAGAACAGGGCAGTTGTACTTTCCTAGAGCCCTGTCTAATTTTTTGTTGTTTGTTTCCGATACTTTATTTTTGTTCTTTGCTTAGCTATTGAAATAATAAAATAAGATCAAAATTAGAAAAAAGGTTTCTTTTCAACTACAATATTTTCACTCATATTTGATTTTGTGATAACTAATGTTCTCCGCAACCATAATTTTCCTCATTAATTTTTATTCTTATGGTCCAACTCACTAATCAAATTTTGATATTGTTTTAGAATTAGTTAGAAATTGAGCTTTCATGCAATAGTCTAGGAGTTTGAGGTGTTGAACTCGGAGTAGAAGAGTTAGGATTGAGTTTGAGAATGAGAGTGGTGGGGGGGGGGGGAATTCAACTGTAGCAGGTTAAGGCAGAGAAGAGGGAGTTACTGAGGGTAGTGATCGAATTGAGGAGGGTGTTGAAAGACGCAAAAGCAAAACTGGAGCAGTTGAAGAGAGAGAAGTGAGAGATGATGAGGATATTAATGAAAATGGAGAGGATATTGAAGGACATGGAAGTGTGCTGAAGCAGGTGAAGGCATGCAAGGGGGGAGATGAGCATATTTATGGAATTGGAGATGAGTTTTGGTTTTAGCGAACTTATTAGAATTTCCCCTGAGGAAGATGAGTTGGCAAAACACAGGAAGGGGATTGAGGAGTTGAAGAGCGAGTTAACAAGAACCCCAATTGGAAGAGAAATTGAGGGCCGCAGAGAGAAGGTCCATCAAAGTAGCAAAAATGGAGTTGCAGAAGGAGGATTAGAAAGTGAATGTTTGGTTGAAACATATGCTTCTTGAGATTGAAGATAGAGTAGATAAAAATTTGGTCGTTCAATGGAGAGTGGTGGCTATTGGATCATTAGGTTTATGGTTTTTGCAGCTACCACAACCTAATTCTATCTTAAAACGAGTAATTATTGATTGATTTAATGAAGTAGGTTGATTCTTTATTCAGCCTGCTGGAACTGATAGATAAGAAATGTCTAATTTTGCGTCATATTACTTTGATCGAGTCTATTAGTATATTGGAGGTAATCCAATTTTGTCGTTTGCTCTCAAGTTTTGATGGTCCTCTCTTAGCTGAGTTGTTAATATATAGTTGACTTGAACCTACAACCCTCCATTTCTTTTTTATTAGTGGCATATTGCCCCCAAAATGAGAGCATTGAACCATTTACGTAGAATTGTGAGGTTTTAGATTCAGTTTCAAACTATCTATGGGTCGTGTGGGAATTCCAGTGAGCTTTTATACTCTATCTTTCTTAACAATCAACTAACTAATAACATATTAACTGGGCTTAAATATCATTATGAAAATGAGATGTTTTATACATTTTTATATTTTATTTTCTCAAATGATGATGATATTTCTCTGAATGTTCGACCTATATATTCTTTCTTTATGTTTCATCTCAATTTAAAGATTGTCAATAAAATTAAACGGGTTGATAGACTTTAACGTAACATAAAAAGTATAAAAAAATCAAATATAAACATTCCGGCCAACGGGCCGGGTTATAAGCTAGTTATTAAAAAATAGTTTACTTTAACAAACAACGCATAAAAAATAGTTGGCCGTTGAAAATATTACCCCACCGTTTCCCGTTCTGGGAAGGAGGGCAATTTCAACTCCCACGGCTTATCTTCTTCAAACAATGGTTTATCCCGACGGAAGCAAAGCAGAGAAGAGAACCAGAGAGAGAGAAAAAAGGAGATGTGTGCCCTCGTTCCACTTTTGCATTCCCTTCCTGCATCTCATTTTCAATTCAATTGGGTACCAGGGCTATGGTCGGGAGAGATAACGGTGTTAATCTGGCGATGCGGCTCTTGCAGAGAACGAGATTTGCTCTGATGTTGATGTCGCCACCGCCGTCACGGGGGAGTACTATCGCCGGAGACCGAGAGTAAGCAAGCGAGTCATCCTGAGGCTGGATGAGGCGGCGACAGCACGAAGGTGGAGAGATAGGGTTCTCAAATCCGAGCGAGTGACGACAACTACGCAATTTGGCGTACGATTACCTGAGGAAAATCGAGGGATGCGAGGATAAAATCTATGATTACTTTGCCAGAAACGTCCACGGCGAGGAGAAATCGATGTTCGGGAAGCTGGTGGAAGAACTCGAGAAATGCATCCTGAGCCACTTCGTTTTCCACTAGAACCAGCCGCTTCGATTGTCTCTTGGGTAGGTTTCGGAATTAAATTATACCCCCTGCAGATTTCAAGTATCTCATCAATTTGGATTCGTTTTTCAATTTTGTTGACTAATTCATTTTTCCGTTGCTCAGGTGATGGACGGTGAATCGGAGAAGCCTAAACTCAAAAGCTTTATAATGGCAGCCACCACCACCAGGGGGATTGGCGAGGAGGTGTATTGATGCAATGAAGGAGATAGTGCCCATAGTTGTTGTTTGTTTTTGTTAATTTTGTATTTAGTTCTTTAACATTATTTAAGTAATTTTGCAGTTTTAAGTTAGGGCGATAAAATAAATTAGGGTGAGGTTTAACCATTCAGTAAATTCATGATTCTCTCGTTTTAGTAGGTTTATTTTTGCAGAGATAAAAAGAGGTAATTAGAGTTTTTTTCCTTCGTAAACAGAGGAGGGATGAAAGGTACATGCCCAGAACAAAATTTCCTTCCAGTCGAAGAAAATACAGATAGATGAAGACGATGATGAATCAAAGAGACAAACAAAATAGTTGGTCTCAATCAAGCGGTGCA